AAATTATGTTCAACTGTTTTAAATAGTCTGTTATTTTAGGTAAACTTGCATTTATACTTCTACTATTAAAATGAATGATAAGAGAAACCTCTGCTCTCTATTTTAATGTAATTAAATTGCTTTTCATTATAATAGTCACAATATTCGATTTCTGGAAAAAGATACTATTCACATTGTATATTGTATATTTTTAACTCTTAAGTCTTCGTAAGTATCCATATTTTAAAAATACATTTCCACCATAGATCAATATTGTTTTCTATATCCACTGCTTTATGTTCAATGTAAATGACGGTGTCCAGTTCTTGTGTTGGTTGTTTTGTCATAATTGCACTCACTTCCAGTCGATACACGTTTGATCATTTCCTTATGTTCGGTTTATTTCAGTATTTTTCCAGTTCTTCAATGTCCAATGGCCACAACCTTAGCCTGTTCAGGGGTCCCTTTCAATTTGATGAATATTTTACAATTTTGTGTCCAAGTATTCTATATTTTTCTTTGTTTTTTGAGTAATCTTGCTTTTCTTGCTATGTCTGCATTTTATTTTGTCAAAATGTTCATTCAGATAGACATCCAATCCCTTTTGTTTTCTCTCTTTTAATAGTTCCATTTTATGATTTCTGTTAGCAAATCTTATTGTTATAGCTGATTTTCCTGTGTTGTTTTTCCTTGGGAGAGTGTGACATGATTCAGTGTTTTTGTTTTTTACCTTTATTCCTGTGGAATTGAGAAAAGTTGTCACCTGCTGCTCTACAGAGTTTGAAGCCTCCTTGCTTTGGTGTACTGGAGAAAATAGTTGAGTCCCAGTTGAAGTGCTTCCTGGAGGATCACGCCATCTTAGAGCTTTTCCAATCTGGCTTTAAACCTCTCCACAACACTGAAACTGCCCTGCTGAAGGTCTTTAACGACATCTTCAGATTCACAGATACCAGTGATTCTGTGCTGCTTGCCCTGTTGGACCTCACAGCCGCCTTTGACACCATCGACCATGAGATCCTCATTGCTAGGTTGGAGCAGTGGGTGGGCATCACAGGATCAGCCCTCAATTGGTTCAGATCTTACCTCACTGACAGATCCTTTTGTGTCTCCATCAAGGATTTTAGTTCCGCAGAGGCAGAGCTTAAATGGGGGGTTCCGCAGGGGTCCTTACTGGGTCCCCTCCTATTCTCTTTATACCTGCTGCCGCTTGGTGCTATTTTCCGAAAACACAACATGCCCTTCCACTTCAATGCCTATGACTGTCAAATTTACTTCCCCCTAAGACACAATGGTACATGCTCTATTCAACCGCTGCTCAACTGCCTGCCTGGCATTAGCGTCCTCCGGACGCTAATGCTAATGAATCACTACAGGAGCTACATGATATCATCAGCTCGCTGCAGAACAAACACCCCGAGGCTCTTTACGTTGTAGCCGGAGACTTTAACCACGTGAATCTAAAGGACTGTCTCCCAAGCTTTAATCAGCATGTGATGATTCCGACACGTGGAGACCGCACGCTGGACCGTGTTTACACGAACGTAAAAAATGCATACAAAGCCGAACCCCGCCCCCACCTAGGACTGTCAGACCACATCTCAATCTTCCTGGCTCCTGCTTACATGCCCCCGCTGAGACGCTCCAGACCGGTTCAAAAGAAAGTTAAATGCTGGATCCAGGACAGTGGCCCCATACTGAGAGATTGTTTTGATCGAACAGACTGGCAGGTTTTCAGAGAAGCTGCTGAAAATGGAGGTTCGCTTGATCTTGACCAATACACATCCTCAGTACTGGGTTACATTAGTACATGTACTGACACAGTCTCCACTATCAGAAATGTTAAAAGCTACCCAAACAGAAAACCTTGGCTGAATGCAGAGGTGCGTACCCTGCTGGAAGCCAGGAACACTGCCTTCAGGTCTGGAAACTCAGAGGAGCTGAGTAGGACAAGAAAAGAGCTGGTTGCTGGTATTAAGAGGGCCAAGGGCACATATGCAAAGAGGATCGAGGGTCAATTCATCTCACAAGACCCTCGGAGCATGTGGAGGGGCATTAAGTGCATAACAGATTATAAAGGAAGGAGTGAACAATGTCCCAAAGACCCATCTCTGCCTGATGCCCTCAACAAGTTCTATGCACGCTTTGAAGACCCGAACAGACCACCCAGCACCAGACTCACCTCACCACCGGATGAAGAGCATCTCAGCGTGACCTCAGCAGAAGTAAGGAGTACCTTCAGGAGGATTAATCCGCACAAAGCAACTGGCCCAGACAACATCCCCGGAAAAGTGTTGAAGGAATGTGCTGATCAGCTCTGTGAGGTGCTGGCAGACATCTTTAACACCTCACTTACCCTGGAGACAGTTCCCACCTGCCTGAAGACTGCCACCATCATCCCAGTCCCAAAAAGCTCTACAGTGACTGGTCTGAATGACTATCGGCCAGTGGCCCTCACCCCGATAGTCGCTAAATGCTTCGAAAAACTGGTCATGACTCACATCAAAACAACCATCAACATCAACGAGGACCCTCATCAGTACGCATACCGTGAGAACCGATCAACAGAGGATGCAATCTCCTCTGTGGTCCACACTGCACTCAACCACCTGGAGCAGAAAAACTCTTACGTCCGTATGCTCTTTGTGGACTTCACATCCGCCTTCAACACCATGATCCCCCAAACCCTGATGGACAAACTATCCACACTAGGACTAAGCCCCTCCATCTGCAACTGGGTACTAGACTTTTTAACAAACAGACCACAGTTAGTGAGGATCCACAACCTCTCCTCCTCCACCATAACCCTCAGCACTGGCTCCCCTCAGGGATGTGTGTTGAGCCCCCTCCTGTTTACTCTGCTCACATATGATTGTGCAGCTACCCATCCAGGCTGTCACATTGTAAAGTTTGCAGATGATACAGCGGTGGTGGGATGCATCACAAACAATGATGAGTCCAGCTACAGGCAGGAGGTGGAACACCTGGAGAGCTGGTGCAGAGAGAATAACCTTCACATCAATGTGAAGAAGACAAAGGAGATGATTGTGGACTTCAGAAGGAACAAAAACACCTACACCCCCCTGAACATAAGAGGATCTGCGGTGGAAGTGGTCTCCAGCTACAAGTACTTGGGTGTACACATGAATGACAACCTCAGCTGGAGCAACAACACCACCAGCCTGATCAAGAAAGCTCATCAGAGACTCTACTTCCTCAGACGGCTGAGGCGAGCTGGTCTGGGAAGCTCAGTCCTCACCTCCTTCTACAGGTGTGCAGTGGAGAGCATCCTGTGCTCGAGCATCAATGTGTGGCATGGAGGCTGCACAGCTGCAGAAAGAAAAGCTTTGCAGAGAGTGGTGAAGGCTGCACAGAAATCTGTTGGAATCAGCCTCCCCACCATCACAGACATCTACACCTCCAGATGCAGGAAGAGGGCCACCTGCATCATGAAGGACCCCACCCACCCAGCACACACACTTTTTGCCCCACTCCCCTCAGGAAGGAGGTTAAGGAGCATTAAGTGTAGAACCACTAGATTGAGGAACAGCTTCTACCCTGAGGCTGTTAGACTCATGAATCTCTAACTAGAATAATCACTGTGAAAAACCATATCATGTTGCTGCTGATCTGTTTCATGTTGCTGCTGATCTGTTTCAATGTTGATGTGTTCATGCGTGCACATCTGCTCACAGACTCATGTTCATGTTTGTGCTGATGTTCAATGTTTTATGTTATGAGTGCTTAGTGTATATTTAGTTGATGTTTTTCTTAGTTCATATCTTAGATGTTATTACTGTTTTTCTTATACATTTTATTGTTGGATGTAACTGGGACCCTGTGTACATAATTTCGCTCCACCACATGTACCACATGAGGTGCGAATGACAATAAAGAAACTCTGACTCTGACTCTGACTCTGACTCTGACATCAGTGACTGGATGGCTTTAAATTTCTTAAGTTTCAATGAAAAGAAGTCTCAAGTCATGTTGTTCCCTCCCAACGACACGATCACAAACCACTGCATCGACCTTTCCGCTCTAACCCTGTCAGAAAAACAAAGAGTCACTAATCTGGGCGTGATAATGGACCCTTCCCTGAAACTTAACAATCATGTAAACATGATTGTTAAGTCATGCTTCTTCCAACTGAGGCGGCTGTCTAAACTGAAGCCCATATTGTCCAAAAAGAACCTGGAGACAGTAATACATGCATTCATTACATCTAGGCTTGATTACTGCAATTCACTCCTGTTTGGTATCAGTCAGACCTCCATTGCACGACTACAACTGGTCCAGAATGCAGCAGCCCGATTTTTAACCAGTACAGGCAAAAGAGAGCACATTACACCAGTTTTGCCCTCACTGCACTGGTTACCGGTTCACTTTCAAATCCAGTTCAAAATACTCATGTATGTCTACAAATCACTGAACAGTGTCACCCCCCCCATCTCTCTAATCTGCTACAACCGTATGTCCCACCACGCTCCCTGAGGTCAGCGGACCAGTTGCACCACACAGTTCCAGGAACTCGTCTTAAGCGCAGAGGTGACAGGACCTTCTCTGTAGCAGGACCAAGACTCTGGAACGAGTTACCTCTGCTTGTCAGACAGGCCCCCTCCCTCTCGGTTTTCAAGTCCCGTTTAAAAACTCACTACTATTCAGTAGCTTTCAACACAAGATGATTTGTGTTTTGATCCTGTATGCTCCACACTGGTTTGTCGTCATTATCTGCATCGTTTTTTGTCTATATTCTGATTTACCTCATTTTGTATTTTGCTTTGTGTGTTACCTGTTGTTTTGTCTGTACAGCACTTTGGTTGGCCTTGTTGCTGTTTTAAGTGCTTTATAAATAAAGTGGTATGGTATGGTAACACAGCCCGTTCATATGACTGTGGTTTTATTTGCAGCTTGGTCACAATTATGTCATTCATATGAGTATATTGCTCTAAAAGTCAGCAACATGATTGGATCTTAACAAGTCTACAGATCAGAAATTATGACCTGTGTGTTTTTCTGTGAAGTACCTGCACAGGTTCCAGTGGACTCACCTGAACGAGAGGCTGGCCTATGAGCAGACAGTGCTCCAGCAGCGACTCCGAGCTGAAGTTTCTCAGGCCAAGAGGGAAACAGATTTTTATCTGAGCAATGTGGAGAAGAGTGCTCACCTGGACAAAGTGAGGAAGAAGAGGCAGAAAGATGGTGAACAGGTAAACCCATCTGGGGGAGTATCTTAACCTTCAGTTAGGAGCGTGTACGAGGGCAGGAAAAAAAACCCACTGTCAATGGAGCTCAAGTACCCCTTGACCATGGCAGCCGCAGGAAAACCAGATGTAACTGGGACAGAAGGTCAAACTTCTCTGCAATATGATCATGTGTTTTACATGCAAACATGCAACATGGCGTCAGCAGCGAAAGAGAGAGGCTGCAGGGTAGAAAACAGTTCCAGAGTTGGTGTGTAAGTCTGAAGAATTTCACATTTGTCCTCACAGGTAGCATACAGGCGGAAAAGTGGTGGATCAAACAAGTGAAGACATGCATTTCCTTTAGTTGTAATCCATGAGGTGAAGTAAGCTTGAACCAAGTTAAAATGAAGTCCAAAAGTACTGTCAGAGGACACTTTCAAGGCATCATTTTGAGATGGCACCAGCTCATGACAGCAGCTCTCAACTATTTTACTTCCACAGTAAGTTTAAAGTGAGAAGTAGATTTGAGCCATTAGTCCCAAGCATAATCTTGGTGTCAACATAAAACATGACAATGCACTTGTGAATATAGGCTTAGAATAGAGTATTAGAAATTAGGATATAGCATTGAACAACATACAATACTGAGTTCCCTTTCTCTCACATTATCACAATATGCAATGTTCAACAACACTTCATAGCTCTACATTTATTCATAATGTTACCGTGTTTGCCAGTTTAACCAGTTGCAGAAACCAGAGGGAGCATTAACTTCCTTCACCCATGCCGTTATCTGACCTCGTTTTGGCGCTAGTCTCAGTTTCACTTTCTGCTTACGGTTCAAACCTTTGACATTACAAAAATAAAAATACATATAAACTTCAAGAACAGGTTGCAAAATATTTCACATGCATCCATGTACAATAAGAACATTCAAAATTAATTACATCCTGATGATGGGAAGAACTGGTCAACTTCAAATGTAACACGTAAACAAACCGCAGGTTAGCGTCCGCTACAGCTCTGACTAAGGCTGCCTTCACCTTGCAGCTCTTAATGCTCAAATATGATGCTTCTGTGCTCGTTCTTGTTCTAATTTAGACCTCCATCAGACTCCAAGGTAAACCAGCCATGGTAGAAGGAAACATGGATGTTACATGTTAGTGTGTGTGGATTGGTTCTGAAGTTGTTCAGTCATCTCCATCTTCTATTGCATATCCACTGCTGACCTGGAGTTAAGATGGCACCTGTGCTTGGCTTTGCTGTCTTTTCTCCAGTTTTTCTTCTGTGTGTTTTACCATCTGTGTTTTTAATATATATATATTTTACTGATCTGTATAAAAACTCTGGCACTTCTGCTGCTCCTGTCTACAACCAGGATGCAGATGTTGATCAAAGTTGATGGTGGAAAATTGTGACAGCTCTAACAGTTTCAGAGGGTTTCTCACTGGCTATGTGAAACTATTTCTCTAGCCTTTTCGGCGGCTGGTCTTCCCCCTCCTGATGGACTCAGGGCTCATTCCACCAGAGGAATTCCAACTCCCACGGCGCTGCACGGTGGTGTGTTGTTAGGTATTTTCTCATACTTAGACAATAAAAAACACCACAGAGACACAGAGTAAGATTTTGAACAAGCCCTTTGCAAAGAGGGGAAATCCACTACTGACCAAAATCAGAGTGAACTCCGAAGCCTCGCTGTTTGAACTTGCCTTTTATTGGTAAGAGTGAAGGAAAAAAGAAAAGCAGTTTCACATCAACAATCTGGAGTCACAAGATAAGCGTTGGCAGGACGGTTTGGGTTGAAAGCAAAGAGTCTTCTCAGAAAGATATCTTGATTAGGCAGATTGCAACGAGGGCAAGATGATCTTAGAACATTTTGATTAAATGCTTAAGAGGAACAATGACAGTGTAAGATTGATGGGATATGAGTTGATATGTGACATTTCTGGTTTTACAAAAGAACCATCAATTCTAAGTAAAAACAGCTTGTGTAAGTACAGATAATTTCCTATCAGCTCGGACGTGGACTGAGAGTTTGCCAGAAACTTCTTTGCTTCGTATGCACAGAAGTGCAGAAATCATGAAACAGTTTAAAATGATAACATAATGAAAATTCTTACATGTGTCTGTACAGGACTTTTGTTCTGCGGCTTCCTGGTCATCACAACTCCTTTCATCTGTTTTTACCTGCGTGATGTTTCTAATTTGCCTTTGACACGCTCGGTTCTCAAAGTCCTGTCTTGAGTGACGTCACAGCCATCTTCACTCAGTTTTTCCTTTGCAACTCTGCTCACTCTTCTTTTGAGCAGGTGTTTTCCTGTCTGACATCCAAGCAGGGGAGCTTTTCTCTGTACAGAAGCTTCCCCCATTCTCCCTCTCATTGTCAACCATGTGAGTAAGTTAAATGCTCAGTTTTCAGTCCAGCACAGAGGATGCACATCTGCTGCCGGTGCGTACCAGGTGCTTGGATCAACAATGTGTAACTAAGCTTGAATGGACAGTCAGAGTGTGTGTGTTAGGCAGTTTTTTTGTTTGTGAGCTCATCTTTTCAGATGGACCCAATGAGGCATAGAATACACCCTGCTTTGCCCTTATCCCAACAGTGCAGCTTAAAGGGCAAAGCCCATATGAAAGAGAATGTAGGTTACATACTGCCGTTTAAGAACTGGGCCTCACTGGCTCCCAAGCTGAAGAAAAGTACGCTATTTGGGAGCAGATCTATGGACCCGTATGCCATTTATACGGTCTAGAGGTGGGGCCCACACAGTGGGTGGGTGTGGACTAGAGTTTTTTTCAGTGTTACACGCTGTGCACAGTGTGAGACCCATCAGTGCAGCTTAAATCATGCTTCACTCTCTGCTACACTTCCGACTTTCCAACAGTTTGTCATCTGCTCTACCAGAGAAAACAAAATGCTGGACTTGTTTTATGCAGATGTCAAGGATTCATACCTCGCTGAAGCAAGACCCCCTCTTGACAAATCAGATCACAATCTTGTGTTTCTCTGCTCAAAATATAAACCCCTTGTTCAGAGGCAACCTTTAATAAAGAGAACAGTGAGAAAATGGTCAATGGACGCTGAAGAAGCCCTGCGGGGTTGTTTTGAGGCACTGTGCCAGCCACTTGGAGAGGACATCAATGCCATGACTGAGTGTGTGACCGACTATATATAAACTTCTGTGTAAACAACACCATCTCCACCAGAACAGTGAGATGCTTCCCCAATAACAAACCCTGGATCACCACTGACCTGAACGAACTGCTAAACCAAAAAAAAAAGAGCCTTCAGGGAGGGAGACAGGGAATTATTGAGGAGTACACAGAAGCAACTAAAAGTCAAGATAAGAAACAGCAAGGAGGTGTACAAGAAGAAGCTGGAGAGCAGGTTCCAACAGAACAATATCATAGAGATGTGGTCAGGGATGGAAAAGATCACAGGCTTCAAACAGAAGGAGGATCAGAAGGATGGAAGCCTGAACAGAACCAATGAACTGAACACGTTCTTCCATAGGTTCAGTTCAGGAACAAGCTCAGCATCCTCCTCTCTTGCCCACAGCCATACAGATATACCACCCTCCTTTGACCCAAGGCTGTCTTGTCACACTTCAAATACTGTATCTACCACCTCAGTCATGGACCCTTCTTTTACATATTGGTCACTGTCATCTCGAAAAGGCAGACAGCACTGTGAGAGTCATGTTCTTTGATTTCTCTAGTGCATTTAACACAATCCAGCCTGATTTGCTTTGTCAGAAACTCCAGAAGACTCAGGTAGAGGCCTTAACAATCACCTGGATGAAAGACTACCTCACAAACAGACCACAGTTTGTGAGACTGAAGGATTGTGTGTCTAACCAGGTGTCAGTAGCTCAGGAGCACCACAGGGGCCTGTACTCTCACCTTTCCTTTTCACTCTGTGCACCTTAGATTTCCAGTACATAACAGACTCCTGTCATCTGCAGAAATATTCAGATGACTCTGCAGTGGTTGGGTGTATCAGAGATGGACAAGAAGCTGAGTACAGGTGGACCGCTTTGTGGCATGGTGTGGAAACAATCATCTCATCTTGAATGTGAACAAAACAAAGGAGATGATTGTAGATTTCAAGAGAAACAGAAACAGGTTCAACCCTATTTCCATCATGGGAGAAGAAATGGAGGTGGTGGAGAAGTATAAATACCTTGGGGTTCACCTGGACAACAGACTGGACTGGAGATGAAACAGTGAAGCGTCTACAAGAAGGGACAGAGCAGACTGTACTTCTTGAGGAAGTTGAAGTCTTTCAGTGTTTGCAGCAAGATGCCCCATATCTTCTATAAGTCTGTTGTAGAGAGCGCTATCTCTTCTGCCATCATCTGCTGGGGTAGCAGCACCAGAGCAAGTGACTTCAAAAAGATCAACAAGCTCATAAAGAAGGCTGGCTCAGTTTTGGGGACTCCTCTAGAACCTTTGGCGATGATTATTCAAAGAAGGATTCTTCATAAAATGAACATTACAGACAACCCTCAGCATCATCTTCATCAGACTGTCCTACAACAACAGAGTGTCGTCAGTTAGAGGCTTCTTCACATCTGCTGTAAGACAGACAAGAGATCCTTCCTGCCCACAGCCATCAGCATCTAGAACAACTCTTTAATGAAACCAGGATGATGAGTTACAACATTTAATTTCCCTCTGGGATTAATAAAGTATTTTCAAATTGAATTGGATTGAATTAAAGGGCTGCACTCATTTTCATAGAATCTGTGTTTATAGTACATAACGTATGTTCTTTTCGACCTTCCAAGATGTACAAACTGTCTGAACTCAGTAATTGTCTGTCTGAAATCAAATTATGGCTGAACAGCAACTACTTGCAGTAAAATGCAAACAAAACGGAAATTCTTATTATTTCCATCCATCTATCCATCCATTTTCTTCCACTTATCCGGGGTCGGGTCGCGGGGCTAGCAGCCTAAGTAGGGAGGCCCAGACTTCCCCCTCCCCAACCACTTGGTCCAGCTCCTCCGGGGGAATCCTGAGGT